ACTAATTTGAAGCGTTTTCTCGATTACCTTATGCTGCGTGTAATCCGCCACGCATTCGCCAGTGGTTCACAGAAGCGCCCACCCTTGGAATTTACATTCCCTCTCGCTGCGGGCTGTGTACCAATTGCTCTCATTGAATTTGAATGAAAATAAAGATAATAAGATAATATACCCAATAAGTACCACTTATAAATGACTATAACAGCGGACGAGGATAGTGTCGAACCACCGTTAGGATTGGGAGAGGTCGTAAAAATTTCAAAATTTGCCCAATGTCAGGGTTGACCCTGCTGGGATCCACCTACAATAAGCGAGCAGGCGAAAACGGTCTACCCACCGTTTCCCATCTTGAAGAAGTCTCTTTTCTATAAATGTTCATTACCAACATGTTCACTAAAAGTGTAAGCTCAGAAAAACTTAAGTTTACAGGCTACTTTCTCAAACATTATTACAAAGTGATCACTTTTTAAGCGACACCCCAAAGATACAAGCTGGAGAGATAATGAACGTTTTCATCAACTCCAGCTATGATAAGCGAATTCGCCCACCAAGCCGCGATAGTACAGGTGAGCAAAACGTTGAGTTTCTAAGATAGCGATGTAGCTGCAACATTCCAGGGAAGAATGGTCCTGTAACAGTCAATGTGAATGCTTATATACGGAGGTAAGCTGGAGGTTATGTGAGACTTTTTCAAAATCGTTCAAATTAGCTTACAATCTTATCGATTATTGACATCCTATCTTCATTTATTTTTTTATTTATAAGCTGATTGGCAGCTTGTGTCATAAATGAAGATATGCCTGAGTTCGGTTCTCTTTCAAGACGGTGTTATGCAAAATTAGCATAAGTGAAATTGCCGTTGGCCAGCACGGTGTTTGCGGACTCTTCGCTAGCCGTAGTACCCTGCCTTTCAAGAAAACGAGAAGAGCGTCGGGTGCAGACCATACACCACAAGTGACGACGGCCTCCAAGTAAATCTGGTTAGTAGTGGTTCATAGTGATAGCTGATTTTTGGTAAATGATAGTTGTAATTAGTGACAACTGATAGAATACAACTGCAACAGGCTAATCATTTCAAAACATTACATTTTGTGGAGGCCGTCGTCACTTGTGGTGTATGGTCTGCACCCGACGCTCTTCTCGTTTTTGAAAGGGTGTATACATAGTAGCTCCAATAATTCTCGTCTTGGTCCGATACCATTTTGTATCATAATATTTTA